GGAGCCGGAAAGACCTGTGCACAAATGCGGAGGATTGGCCGCGGCCAGAACGGAACATCGACAATTCAATCGAGCCATTAGACCGGCTTTCGCCAAACTGATAGTTTGCTGCTCCATCGCCTCGTGTACGGCCGCCCTATGAGTGCCATGAAGTGCGGTAAATTCGTCGATTGCGCACAGACCACCGTCAGCTAGAACCAACGCACCGGCATCCAGTGTCCAACCATGTGAATCACGAACTGCGGTTGCTGTTAGCCCAGCAGCAGTGGTCCCGGTAGCCGCGGTCAAGACTGCCCGGGAGCTCAAGTCAGTGGCAGCACGAAGGAGAACCGACTTAGCTGTACCCGGATCCCCAATAAGTAAGATGTGTGGACTTCCTCGGACACGGGACTTCAACTCAGTAGATCCAAGCGAACCGTCAACTTCGGCATGGAATGTGTGAATGAAGAAGTCAGAAAACGAATACCAAATAGAAATAGAGAAAGATCAACTGGGTATCCGCTGTTTTATAGTAGGCGTCAGATAGAACACACAACGGGAATGAATGATTTCGATTTTGCTGACCGCATTTATACGACGAAGTGCAAGGTAATCACCAATATCACAATAATATCAATCTATAAAGAGATCCATCTTAAGAAGGTTTGAGCAGTTGGATTAGTTTTCAAAACGGTCAGAAACTTCAATACAATAGATCAAGTACCAGTTGGATCTTATTACACTATATGCAAAGTGATCCTACGTACGTCAGTACTTTGACTGGACATACCCTTCTTCCAGTTAGCACAATCGAAACACTGCTAATTGGCGACTGGTCATGGCAGAGATAATGCATAGACAAAAAGCTTCAGTTTAGAAAATGAGAGAACAAGCAGCGCTGAACATTCCGAGACTCAGTTCAACTGGCCCCATCAACCCCCACCTCGAATGGACAAATACTCCCAGTTTATGCCAGCCCTCCATCTGAAACCTAGATCCCCCGGGAAGGACGTTATCCCAAAAGGCATGAGGTGTCCGGCCCAGATGGGCTGTTCCCATCAGNGTTTTTAATGATGGAAGTTCAGCGTCAAACTTGGAGCTGACGAAAGTGCTGGGTTCAACATGGGAAAGAGAACAGGTTCCAAGTAAACGCTATGAATCGGTCATCGTAACAATTTTTCAAGAAAGATGAGAGATAACCTAGTGAAAATCACAGGGGAATTAGCTAAATCAACGTCACCTCTAAAACCCTCTCTGGAATCATAGTTCAACGATTGTCTGCCACACGTGAGGAGTGCGCGCGTGAGAATCAGGCTGGTTTTAGGCCAGGTCGAGGTGATATCAACCACTCCGCCAAATTCGACATTCTTTTCGTGGATCCATTATCTCTATCTTCCTCGATCTGAAAGCGGCTTTCGACTGAGTCAACCAATCTAAACTCTGGAGATACCTTTCCTTGAAGGGTGTACCCGTGAAGTTTATTTAAATATTACGATCTCTTTATACTAATAGCGGAAGTAGAGTCCGAGCTTACGACACTTTTCCGCCCGAATTCACCGCAGAAGGTGGTGTTTGTCAGGGTTGCCTTCTCTTTCTCCGTTTCTATTTAACTTTGTTATAAATTTGATTACGGAAACAGACCTACTGGAACAAGTGGTCGACCTCCATAGATTACCTTGATTGTGGCCTGTTTTACGCATGTCACCAAATAGGCTGCCACGGGGCGAGCTGGTTGCACAGGCAATTAGTGAATGAAAAAAGTCAAGGGTCGTCAAAATTAGACCTGATATGAGGATATGAAAACCCTTACCAGAGAACTCGGTCATAAAGGTCGCGTTAGACTTCCTGGATGAGGACCCCGGGATCATTGTAATCCATGGCTAGAGACACCAAGTGATATGTATGACTGTCGTAAACAGTGACATTTGTGCATCTTCTCAATTTCTTTGCAACCTTAGTCCACTGAAATTCTCAATTTTCTCCTTGATCTTAATTTCAACCTTTCCTGTCTTTTTCCAACTGTTCATTCAAATGGGTAGGTAAAAGACAGCAACCAAAATTGGCGTACCAAAGTGTATGGGCAATGGTTATACGAACTGAAGCCGGAGCACTCGGTCTGCGATTGTTTCAGGTGTACACAGCCACAACATTGAATGCTCTACCTATGTAATTGTACATAACCAGTTGATAAATTATCGAAAAGCAGCTTCTTTCACCTATCGGATTCCATTTTCAATGTCACAGTGCACGTTTTCAATGGACAGAAACTTACCGGATGCAGCTGACCATTCGGGAGCACCAGCCAACATCAGTGCCAAGGACAGTTTGATGAGGTACATACCACAAACATTTGGGCAGATGCTACGCACCAACTGATTGCGAGCCTCAAGAGCACGCGCCCAAGTGGTTGAATTCTCGGACCAGAAACGTTCGAATTCGACAATCCGTTCAGTGGACAAACGATTTGAGCTCATCCCAGTCTTCAACTCGGAGAGATTTTCAATGTAGTTTGCTTTGATGGCCAAAGTGATTTCACAGGGTGCACCATCGTACGGAGCTCGCCAACGTCGAATCACAATCCCATTAACTACCACGTCGTCTCCCGGTTTAACTGTTTCCAGTAGATCGTCCTCCAAACACACAGCAATCGAACGAGGCATCAAACCGACAGCCAAACATCGAAATCGTTCATGGACCCGGATTTCTTGATAATTTTTTGCCTGGAAATTTCCGNTTTCCGGTCGAAAATGATTTCAAGGATGTTGAATTACAATTTGTTTCACGATTTGGACAGAAACGAGGCGGTCTAATTACATAGTTTTGATCCAGTTTTGCATACACGGGAAACCTAAAGCCACATTTTGTGCAACGGAAGTGAACGCATTCTTCGAACACTTGAATCGGACCGACACGGCTTACCGTGGCTCGCAGAGCAATAAATTTTCCCACATCTACGGACCATGGTATGGTGTTTCTGTGCACCTCGGGAATGACGGGCAGGGCGGTTAAACGGACGTGTACATGACGATAGGATCGCTTGGTCGACTGGCTTCCGGATTCGCCTGTGAAACGATCAGCATCCAGTGCAACACGAAGACCGTCGTCCAGTAAACACAGGGTATCATGAGGTCGAACTAACAGTAGTTCCGAGAACACACTGTCAAATTCACATAAACAATTAAAATGTACAACCACAGATTGATGAACATGGCTGGGGGAGGATGATATTCGTAGCAAATCGCTTCGATGCTCTTGAAGGAGGTAATCGTGAAACAGTGAGATGACAAAATCACGACTTTTCTGATCTCGTAACGTTAATGCCATCAAGCTCCGTATTTGATTCTGCCCAACCGATTTTGCTTACAAAATCCCAATATCATGGAGCTGAAATAAAACAATGAGGGGGTTTGAGATGGGTTTCACAACTGTGTATTTCTGGTCATTTGAATGTATCTGAGAATTATGTATGGTTTCCCATAAAATTGTCTTCGTCGGGGGTGTACTGTTGTACAGCTGATTAACATCATGATGCCCAAAAAGCGAAATTGGTCTATTATTATTTATTTTCACACATGTCTCACGCCAGACTGTGTCCAACAAACCACGGTAAAATAATCTTTTTAAAAAAAGAAAAACGTTCCATGACTTGCGTGTGGGCGGAATACTGCCAGGTTACCCAGGCCAAGGCAGAATTCTCTTGAGGAATCCACAACCAGGACCTTTGGCTGTCCGAAGCCTGACCCACAAGGCAGTGAGGTGGTAAGCGAAAACCGCAATCCATTGGGGACCGGTGTCCAGTACATCGGATCGTTCGCCCTTTGAACGGAGTCAAACATCCAAGGTGCCCAATACACCTCAATGACCAATCGAGCCGGTGACCACTGCCACAACCAGAAAGTTGTGCGTGGTTCGTACGCCTACCCATAGTTGGTTAGAAATCAGGATTTTTAGCCAACTCCCCTAGGTGAACTATTAGTGGTTCACCAACCCGGTTATAGCCCCGGATGTCGGCTTTTCGTCCTCTTAACTTGGTGGGAAAACACCTTGATGTGTTCACCTACAGGCCGATCTCGGAGACCTGTAGACTGATGCGGCCAACGATCACTTGAAGGTTAGACATGTCCTCACCAAAGATGACAATATCATCCGCGAATTCTAAGTCAGTGGGCCATAAATTTGGAGGGATCTGAACTCCCTGGTATCCTTCCATTGAATAACTCATTATCCAGTCAACGACAAAGTTGAACAGCATTAGGGACAATTGACACCCCTGTAGCACTCTAGATCCTAACTCGAACGCCCATGACTCCTCGCTGTAGATGCGGATTCGGGTGCTAGTGTTGGAATAGTAGGATCTCATTAAGTTGACAAGTTTAACTGGGACGCTATCAGCCAGAACCATGTTCCAGAGGGTTTCGCCATCTACGGAGTCGAATGTCGCACGACAATCAATGAAGCAGACTGCTGTGTTGTAGAACTTTTGGTGATGTTCTAAGAGTCGACACAAAGTGAATATTTGGTCAACTCAGCCCATTCCGGGGCGGAATCCCATTTTTACTTTTATTTATTTTCATTATACACTTTCGTGTGATGAACAGCAGACGGCGTAAACCCCATAGTCACGAAGTTTAGTTCAGTGATGGAAACCGATAACCTAAGCTCCGGAACTTGGAGTGGTGCACCACATAAGGCCCCGATTGGATAAACGTGGTTAGGACGAGTGCGCGCGTGCCTTGTTGAAGCAGAGCGGTTCAGAAAAAGTTGTGCAAAAATCTTGGTCGCCACGTCAAGTAAACTGATGCCTTTTTGGGTTTTCGCACACTAATGTGTCACCCTTTTTAGGGAAAGGTAGTAAAATCGATGTGGTCCAGTCAGCTGGGCGAATTTTGGTTTCTCAGATTGCACATAGTAAGCTATGGAGAGGGGTTTTAATAGTTGGAGAACACTGCGTAGATTTCGGCGGGGTATCCCGTCCTTGTCGGGAGATTTCTGTGGCTTGATATGGTTGATGATACCTGACACTTCTGGTACCGATGGCGGAGAGCAGTTAGCTTCGCATGGCGAAGATGACAAGGAGGACGCATACGGCAGTTGGATTTGAGGGCGACTGAGAAGAGGGCTCAAGTATTCCACCCACCGAGACATTTTTCCTTGTGCATCAAAAATGAACTGCGCAACACAGACTTGTTTCTTACCCGAAGCTGATCGAATGAGTCAGGAACAGGGTTGCCGTGTTGCCCCAGTTTGTTGCTGTATCTACTCTTGTAGCCATTTCATTCCAGTAGTTGAATCTATCCTTTTTGGCTGATTGTGTTGCTTGTCGTCTGAGATCGCGATAAGCAGAGCATTGAGCAATGCGTTTCTCTCTGGCCGCATTGGCTAACTGGATGGTGTAGTCAGACGACGTGATCCAGTGCCCAATTCGTGTGAAGCAGCTTGTTGTACCGACGACTTCATCCTGGTCCACTGAGTTTCAACCGAACTCTCTGTGTTTCCTAGCGCACCGACGGGATCGTTCGACAGCTGTGCAGTTATTATGCCCATCAGTGCCTGGTATTTCTCGTTGTTTTCCAACGGAAGCACATTTAGGCGTTTTGAGGGGACCGTCTTCCTGCGAGTTGTTAAATGGATTCTAACTTTCGAGCGAACTAGTACAGAGTTCCCGCATTCAGCCCCGCGATAGGAGCGACAGTCTTCAGTCGAAGAAACCCATCCTGAACGGATGATATAATCTAGTTGGTGCGTTGTTCGTCCATCGTTGCAGTACCACGTCAGAATATGCCTTTTGGATGTTGAAACCGCGTCTTGGCATCATCATCGTACAGCGAAATACAGTGAGGTGGACTTCACTGACTGCTGCCAAACTGACAATGCATACAAGGTTAGTGGTAAAATTTAAGGTGGGCAGGGATCAGACCTATTTTGAGGGAAGGGGAAGAAGGTGAACCTCTATGGTCAACACACAGAGCGCTGTTGGTTTGCTGCCATATCCTTCAATGTCTCCAACCAACCAGTTGTGGAGTCTTTCGAACCCC